CTAAAAGTTGCAGAAGGGTCCCGTACCAATGTTGATGGGCCCAATCCGGGGCTATGAGGATAACCCTCGACCTGTCTGCCTTTACTTTTTGCAGAACCTTGCCTATCAGTGGGAAAGGCATAGAACAGTTGGTCTGACCACTGGAGGAGGAATGCGTCTGAGATCGCCCCCCTTTCTGCTCCTGCCCTGGAACAGGGGAGCTCCCCACTCTTGAAAGAGCTGTTGGGCGACTTCCCAGTGGAGTGACCACTCGTATTGGTGGGAAAACACCCTGTTGAGGCAATCGGCTTGCACATTGCATGCGCCAGGTAGGTGGAAGGCCCGTAGGGAGATATCGTAGGCAATGCAAAACTCCCATAGGTCCAGGGCTTCCCAGCACCGCGCCAAGGAACGCGTGCCTCCCTGCCTGTTGATGTAATACATCATGATCGTGTTGTCCGTGAGGACTCTGACTGCCTTCCCGCGAAGGTGCAAACTGAACGCTACGCATGCCAGGCGTACTGCCCTGAGCTCCCTGACGTTTATGTGCAGAGAGAATTCCAAGGTCGACCATCTGCCTTGGGTTTGAATGTCCCCTATATGGGCTCCCCAGCCCAGGTCTGAGGCATCTGACACCAGGTCTAGAGAGGGAGGGAGTTCTCGGAAGGGGACCCCGTTCAGCATATTGCTCGGGAGGGACCAACATTGCAGAGTGGCCACCATGTTGGGAGGCATCGGACCATCTTGTCCAGGCTGTCCCGGGACTGGGAATACTGGGAAGCCAACCAAAGTTGGAGGGGCCTCATTCTGAGTCTGGCATGTCGCACCACGGACGTGCATGCTGCCATGTGACCTAGGATTTGAAGGCATACCCTTGCCGTCGTCACGGGGAAGGCTGTGACCGAGGCTACGAGACCTTTGAGTGTCTCGAATCTGTCCTGGGGAAGAGAGACTGTGGCCTCTCAGGAGTCTAGCAGAGCCCCTATGAAGTGTATGCGCTGAACCAACGTGGACTTGACCTCATTCACCACTAGGCCCAGACCCGCGCATGTGGACAGGAGAAATTGCATCTGGGCCTGAACCTGGGACCGGGGGCTGCCCTTGAGGAGCCAGTCGTCCAGGTAAGGGAAAATTTGCAGCCCGTTCCTCTGGAGGTGGGCTGCCACCACTGCCATGCATTTGGTAAAACCCCCTGGGGGCAGTGGAAAGGCCAAAGGAGAGGACCGCAAACTGGTAATGGTCCCGCCCTACCAGGAGGTGGAGGAAGCACCTGTGACCCTCGAAAATATGGATGTGGAAATACGCATCCTGGAGGTCCAGGGACGGAAACCAATCCGCCGGCTCTAAGGAGGGGATGATGGAGGTCAGGGATACCATGCAGAACTTGTAGCAGACCATAAACCTGTTGAGGTTCTGCAGGTCGAGGATGGGCCGGAGTCCACCTTTTACCTTTGGGATCAGGAAGTACTGGGAGTAAAATCCCTTGCCCTGAAATTCCGCCGGTACCCTCTCCACCGCACCTAGGTTGAGAAGACGCGCCACCTCTTAGTTTAGGAGGACGGCATGTTCCCAGTCCCCAAGGTCCTCCCGGGGCGGGGGGTAGTGGAGGGGCGGTGAGGTGAACTGCAACATGAAGCCCCTGGAAATCGTGCTGAGGACCCACTGGTCTGATGTTATACAGGACCACTTCACTCGAAACGCAGATAAACGGTTGCAGAACACAAACTTTATTAACTGGGGGGCGTCCGTGGCAAGAGGCCCAGTGGCCCCCCCGAAAGAGTCAAAACTGCCTCTTCCCCTGCCTCTTGCCCTTCGATGGGCCTGGTCGCGGGGCTGAGCAGGACTGACACTGAGACCTGCGTCTCTGCTCCCTTGGTCGCTTAGGAGAGGGTTCATATCTGCCCCTAGCGGGGGGAGTGGAGGTCTGCGGCCTAGGTTTGTCCTTCGCTGGCGGGACATATAGGCCCAGAGCTTGCAGAGTGGTACAGGAGTCTTTCATCCCATGCAGGCAAACATCGGTTTGGTCCGCAAACAGCGCTTGGTCCTGCACCAGAGACTGAGACTCTGCAGACAGACCAGACAGGAGAAGCCATGACGCCCTTCGCATGGATATGGCCGACGCTATAGAACGGGCTGCCGTGTCCGCCACATCTGAGGCGGCCTGGAGGGCTGCTTTTGCCGTTGCTGCCCCTTCCTCAACCAGAGCCGTGAACTCTTTCTTGTCCCCCTCCAGGAGAAGAGGCTCGAACTTCGGTAGAGACCCCCACAAGTTAAAATCATAGCGGTTCAACAGGCCTTGGTGACTGGCCAATCCAAGTTGAAAGCTCGCAGAAGAATAAACTTTCCTGGCAAAAGAATCAAGTCTCTTGGAGCCTTTGCCCTTGGGGGTGGGTGCAGGCTGGCCGTAGCATTCCCGATGGTTGACTGACTCCACCACCAGGAGTTAGGTGCTGGGTGGGAGTACAGGTACTCATGTTCCTTAGCTGGAACAAAGTACTTTCTCTCCGCTTTCTTGGAAATGGGCACCAAGGAAGCTAGGGTCTGCCACAGGGCAGTCGATACCTTGGTGAAGGGGTAGGGCCACACAGCCCGGTGCCGAGGAGGACAGTACATTGAAAAGGGTGTCCGACGGCTCCTCCATCTCCTCAGCCTGGAGTTGGAGATTCGAGGCTACCCTTTCGAGGAGCTCCTGGTGAGCTTTAAAGTCCTCTTGTATAACTGACAGAGATGCCACTATGGTCTCCTCTGGTGCCGGCGAGGGGGCCAGTCCGGCTACCAGGGTGTCAGGAGGTGCCGCTGATTCGACTCCTAAGACTGAGGTCGGCCCCGGTGCCGCCAGTTCGGTGCCCGTCGACTTCTGACTCTGTCGAGGGGGGGACACCGAATGGGTCTGGGACGCCCTGGCTACCAAGCGGGGTCTCGCCTGGGCAGGCAATTGTGGCCACGGTGCCCATTGACACCATTGGCCCTGCCACGGTGCCCCTTGCCACTGACCGGCTTGGGTGCCGAGTGGTGCAGGCTCCTTTTGGGGCTTGGTGTGGCTCTGGGACGGGCGGCTGGGTGCCGAGGCCGAGGTCGCTGTTGACTGCATGGTGCCATAGGAACGATGGGAGCGTCTACGGTCGTGCCGGTGCCGACCTCGAGATCTGGACCTCTACGACGATGAGGAGCTGTACTTGACCGAAGTGCTGCTCTCATAGCCGGCGATCGTAGCTACGACGCTTCGGTGCCGGTAACGCCCGAGCAGAACTCCGTCTATGGTGTCTGGCGGAGCGGGCACTCGAGCCAGAGCGTCCATAACGATGGGGTCGGGATCTGCTCCTGTAGCTCCTATCCGAAGAGGAGCATCGACGCCGCTTGTCTCGGTGCCTGTGCTTCCGATGGGGAGTGGAGGATCTTCGAGACTCCCGCGCAGACGAGTCAGCCAGTCTGAGCAGAGTGGAAGGCTGATGTGAGCTATGTGAGGACCTCGTTGAATGGGGCGCACCGTCCTCGGAGCGTGGGCTGTGTCTTGTCGGGGAGGGCTGGTGTGCTCCCAACAGCGGCTTCTCTTGGGCCCGGGGGCCCGTCTCGGGCAGCGCACCCGGCACTAGGAGGGAGAGGATGTCACACGCGGCCTGTGCAGCCTCCAGCGTCGATGGCATTCTCACCGCTGGAGAGGCACGCATGGACGGGACTGGCTACTCCGCTCAGCGTGAGTCGGGTCCTGAGGGGGATCATGGGCTGCCCAACTCGGGTCCAGCCTCACCCCTGTCCTTTTGTTGGTGCCGCTGAGTCTTCCCTTGCTTCTTAGCGGGTGAACAGTGCCGACTGGTGGAGGGCGCCTCACTCTGCACCAAGGATGTGGTACCCAGTGCCGAGTCCGATTGGCGCGCCAGTGCTGGGGCCAATGCAGATTCCATTAGCAGGGCCTGGAGCCGGATATCTCTCTCACATTTCGTTCGATCGGTTACGTGAGTCTCACCCAAGCAGCGAAGACACTGAGTGTGCAGGGTCACTTCCTGGCATAGAACTGCGACAGGAGTCGCACGACTTGAAGCCTGGGGCACGCCCCGCACCAGGCAACTAACTAAAGAAGTTATCCAACTATGGAGAAGATGAGTACTGCTAAGGCTACCAGAAGAGCTACAGCAAGGCTGGAGCACAAAGTTCTGACTACCTTCTCTGGCGACAAGAAGGAACTGAGGGTTGGGGGAGTGCGCAGCTCCCCTTATAGCTGCGATATAGAGGCTCCACACCAGGGGTTGCAGCAGTGCTCCCCTCCTACGGGTACTGCTAAGGGAAAAACTGCCGGCGCCAGTGCACATGGCGAGCACGCACACCTAAAGTGGAATACACAGGAGCAATCACTCTAAGAAGAACTTTAAGTTTTGTGGTGCAGTTTCCCCAAGGGCAGTGATGGAATTCCAGCATATATTATCCTATTAGTCCTCTGAAGGAAAGCATGCACACAAAGTGATGCTGGCAGCACCTTCTGGGATGTGTGTACTGTCCTACTCCCCAAGAGTTGGGAGGAGGACCTGACAACCCGATTACATAGGTACATTTAGGGGTCTACATTGCAAACTACCCCACTGCTTCCCATCTCCACCCTAAATAAAGCTTCCCCAAACCAGTTCTAGGAAGGCAACTGTGTGCCACCGTTAGCTGTGTTGGTTACTAATTAACAATGTGATATGGGGGCACTAACAATGTGATATGTGTGCAAAACCAACCATTAGCAAGTTACCAGCCTGGTTACAAACTGCATTATGAGCTGGTCTAGCTTGTCTATTCAAAGAAACAAAAACATGCTTTGAAAGAGGGGAGTTTACCAGACCTAAGGACCATCCCAGCAATGTGTTGCGATGTTATCTGTTTCACGCTAACTGCATTCAGAAGCACCAGGCTGTGCACGTACCTTTACAGGATTAGTTAGAACTTCCCGCATATATTCAGCGACTGTAATAGGGCCAGTTGACTTTATTTTGAACATGAGATGCTTTAGGAGTGGAGTAACCTGAGCGCTGTCTTCTGCTTTGCTTCCGGCACTGAAACACTGGCGTCTCCATGCAGCCGGGACAACTGGAGGAGCGTTAGGGGAAGAAAACACACAGACACCCTCACTACAGGAAGGATTTTCAGTACGTCACTAGCCGAGACACTTGCAGCTTGCGGGAAAGGGGGACCCCGGCCGGCTGCAAGGCGGCGCTGGGGGGTTAAAGACTTGGCCCGGCGGCCGGGCACGTTAATGCCAGACTCCCAGTGAGGAGGTGCTGCAGACACGACCCCCGCGCGCCGGGGCTGGGGATAACCCCAACCCCGCCCCCGCGCTGTCCGCTCCCGGCTGAGCTCGGGACGCGGGCTCCTTTCCCCCAACGCCCCCGATGGCCTCGGGCGCGGAGGGGGTCGGAGCGCTGTCGTGACACGGCCGCGGCGCTGGGCCCGGCTGTTACCATGGTGACCGAGAAGTCGCTGCTGCCAGGAGACACCGAGGACAGCCGCGAGCAGAGAGCGCCGTGCAGCCAGGCGGGTCATGTTTGCAGCACCCGTGCCCTTTGACCTTCCACCTTTGTCCTGACGCTACCAGTTCCTGGATGCTGTGTACGCTCCCTCCACCCCGAATACAGGCAGGGGACTGAGTCCTAGGCCGGGCCAGGGCACAGGCGATGCTTGCGGGTGTGAGGGTTTCCCTGACTGGGGCGTGGGCGCTCCTTTCTCCCTTCTCAGACACTGGAACCTCTTTCACTCTCCAGTTATCTTGCCGGACCTGCCACCTCCCAAGGGCTCTGTCCGGAAGTAGGTGGAGCGCATGCGCGGTGTGGCAGCAGCCTGCAGCACAGTGATGGCGGCGCCGGCGGTGGTCGGTTTGAGGGAGTTGGACGAGCCTGATGATGAGGAGGATGGAGCCGAATCCGGTTTCACGCTGCAGGAGGTGCTGCGCCTCGGGGGCACCAAGGTGAGAAGGCGTCGGGGAGGGACGGCAGCGCGCTGCTGGCACGCGCATGAGCACGTGGGGCCCTGAGAGGGCGCAGTCCCCCCTCCTCCCCCGTGGCTGGGGGGCCGGGTAGGGGGACGCGCGGGCCTGTGCCCCACCCCTCCCCGCGCGTGGAGTGGGCCGCCCGGCCGGCGCGAGGGCTGACGCGGGCTGGAGTCGGTAGAGGGAGGCGGAGGCGGAGAGGGGTGCAGCCGGCAGGCCGGTGACCCTCCCCCGCGCACCGATCGGGGGGAGAAGCGTTTTGTTTATAAATGTCTGGCGGGCAGCCGCTATGGGGCCTGTAGCAGTTCCCAGCCAGAGTCTCTCTTCTTGCATGTGTAACAGTCTTGCCCGTGGTCCCCTGGTACGCGCCTGTCCTGTGTGATCACTGTTCCACTATCTGAATCCCCAAACTGGCCCATGAAGGAAAACCACAGCCGCAAGTGAGGTTCTTACCCACGAAAGCTTATGCTCCCAATATGTCTGTTAGTCTCAAAGGTGCCACAGGACCCTCTGTTGCTTTTTACAGATTCAGACTAACACGGCTACCCCTCTGATACTTCACAGCCTCCTTGACACTCACGATGAGTGTTTTTCCCTCTGTATAAAAAATAAAAATATATATATGGAAATATACCTATCTCATAGAACTGGAATGGACCCGGAAAGGTCATTGAGTCCAGCTCCCCGCCTTTACTAGCAGGATCAAGTACTGAGTTTGCCCCAGATCCCTAAGTGGCCCCCTCAAGAATTGAACTCACAACCCTGGGTTTAGCAGGCCAATGCTCAAACCACTGAGCTATCCCTCGCTCCTGTATATCATTTGTACGGCACTTGTTAATGTAGCTGTTCGCCTTTATAAATATTTGATTTTTGTGTGTGTGTGCTTTTGCTTCATACAGCAAGATTATATCATGCTGGCTGCTCTGGATGAGACAGAGGACCTGGTGGATGGTGGTAAACAAGGAGCAATTGATGACCTGAGACAAGGTGAACTAGAAGAATTTATTAAGTCACTAGGTGTTTGCAAATATTCAAAAAATATCATGGTGGTAGAGGAGAATGAAAAAAAGGACAAGGCAGCAAAGAAAGAGAAAATCAGCAAAAAGGAAACCAGCGCCTCTTCACTAGAAGGAAAGAAAGAAAATCAAGTCAAAGAAAACAAAGGAAAAGCACAGATAAATAATGGCAAAGACGGGAAGAAGAAGCCAGCTCAGCGTAATGAAGAGCACATTCCTACAGTGCCAGTGGTAAAGAAAGAGAAACAAGAAGAGGTGTTTGAATTTCATGCTAGGCAAGTACTGCTGATCAAACCAGGGGGCAAATGGTATGATCTGGAGTACACCAATGAATTCTCTTCTGAGCAACAAAATCAGGTGTTCATATCAAAGTATAAAGCCTTGGCCCAAAGACTGTATCAGCAGGAGGCAGACCTGTATAAGAATAAGACAAATCTTCAGAAGGGGGCCTCCTCAGCTTGGATGAACAATGTTGTGTCATCAGGTACACTAGCTGACAGAATGGCAGCCATGACTCTTCTTATCCAAGATGGTTCCGTCCACACTCTCCAATTTGTTGAGACCTTGGTGAACCTTATCAAAAAGAAGGGCAGCAGGCGTCAGAGCCTAATGGCTTTGGATACTTTCAAGGAGCTTCTCCTCTCAGATCTTTTACCAGACAATCGTAAACTCCACACTTTCTCTCAACACCCTTTCAACAAACTGGAGAAGCTTTCGAGTGGCAACAGAGATTCAAGGGACAGGCGATTGATATTATGGTACTTTGAGCATCAGCTGAAACACTTGGTGGCAGAATTTGTGCAGGTATTAGAAACACTGACTCATGATTCTCTGGTGGCAACTAAGGCTCGAGCCCTTGCAGTTGCTTATGAGCTTCTCTGTAACAAGCCAGAGGAGGAGAAGGCTCTTCTTGTGCAGCTGGTAAATAAACTGGGAGATCCTCAAAACAAAATAGCCACCAAAGCCTCTTATCTTCTGGAGACCTTACTTCATAAACATCCAAACATGAAAGGAGTGGTGTGTAATGAAGTGGAGAGGCTTCTCTACCGATCAAACATTAGCCCGAAAGCTCAATATTATGCAGTTTGTTTTTTAAATCAGATAGTCCTCAGCCATGAGGAAAATGATCTGGCTAACAAACTGATAACTCTATATTTTTGCTTTTTTCGGAGTTGCATCAAGAAAAAAGAAGTTGAATCCAAAATGCTTAGTGCTCTACTGACTGGGGTGAACAGAGCTTACCCTTATGCTCAGATTGGTGATGAGAAAGTGAAAGAGCAGATGAACACCTTGTTTAAGGTGCTACATCTTGTGAACTTCAGCACCAGTGTGCAGGCCCTGATGTTGCTTTTCCAAGTAATGGACTCTCATCAGACTGTATCAGATAGATATTATGCAGCATTGTACAAGTAAGTGATTGATAAATTCTCTGACTCGGTGATCTAAATTTCATTTTACGAAATGGTAACTGTTAACTAAAAATACTGTTGTTGAAGCACTTGATTTTGTCATTAATGGCCTCTCTGGTCAGCTTCCAATCTTGCTGTGCTAAAATTTCTGATGTTTGTTATTAAATGCTTACCTATGTGTCCATCCCTCCTATAATGCACATTGTACAGAGTAAAGAAATGGCAATTGACATGACAGTCACACAGGTCATCAAAACAGAACATTTAAACTTAACCCATCGGTCATGCATTGTTTTCCAGTTGCATGTTTTAACTCCATACTTAAAGTTTGAAACTTACTGATGGTCACCTTCTTCTGTAACCTGTATTCTAGCTGTCTGATTTTTCTTTTAATAACAGTTTGCCTAAACTCTTGTATCCATACTTTTGTGGGGGGCAAGATGTTGAGAATCCATGGGTTCTCAACCAGGGGCACACAGAGGCCTTCCACAGGGTGCATTAACTTATCTAGATGTTTGCCTAGTTTTACAATAGGCTACATAAAAAGCACTGGCGAAGTCAGTACAAACTAAAATTTCATGCAGACAATGACTTGTTTATACTGCTCTACATACTATACACTGAAATGTAAGTAAATACTATCTTACAATTGATTTATTTTATAATTACATGGTAAAAATGAGAGAGTCAGCAATTTTTCAGTAATAGTGTGCGGTGACACTTTTGTATTTTTATGTCTGATTTTGTAAGCAAGTAGTTTTTAAGTGAGGTGAAACTTGGGGTACGCAACACAAATCAGACTCCTGAAAGGGCTACAGCAGTCTGGAAAGGTTGAGAGCCACTGAGTTAGACTATGCTAGAGGCTCTGCATTTTAAAACCATCCTTTTTGCAGCTGACTGTTAGGAATTCCCTTCAAAACCTTTTTATGTCACTTCTTAACTGGCCAAGGATAGCCACTGATTAATCCAAGGCACTCATATTCCCCTTTGTTCCTCTTTGTGCAAAACATGCTCCTTCTGCAGTGCCTTCCAGCCCTAGTTGACCTGAAGAATAAGACAGTGGAATTCTGATTTGGCACGAGGTGTTTGGCCTGACTGTGGAGTGCTCCAGTGGGCTGATCCTTTTCTTTCCACTTTTTAAAATAGTTGTTTCTGTTCTTTGAAAGTGTGAGGAGATTATATAGATCAATTTAACATATTCTTTTTGACATTTAAAAACCCGATCATGAAGTTTTGCTTTCTATTGAGACATGCCCAAACTTTTCTTACACACAGGTTGTTTCTCTGTCACCTGACAGTTCAGAAATGTGTTTTTCATGTTAAATATTTGTATATAGATGTCCCAACAGTTGTCATCATTAACAATTCAGTATTCACTGTACTATTTTCCTATACAGTAGAATAAGAACTAACTACTCTTTTAGATACCACTGTGTAATATTAAAAGGTAAATGTTAATACTAATGGTAATAACGCTATAATAGATAGATAAATAGAAGCAAATGTTGCTTATAATCCTATGTTTTCCACAGGAAGCTGCTGGATCCAGGGTTAGCAGCATGTTCCAAGCAGGCCATGTTTCTTAATCTTGTTTACAAGTCTGTGAAGGCAGATGTTGTGTTGCGGCGGGTGAAGGCCTTTGTGAAAAGATTACTTCAAGTCACCTGTGGACAAATGCCACCATTCATTTGTGGAGCCCTGTATCTTGTGTCCGAGATTCTGAAAATAAAACCAGGATTACGAGTTCAACTACAGGATCATGTGGTATAGTGTGACTTTTAACAGCTTCTGTGATATTGTGTTGGGTCTCCACTTACTAGCTTTGATAACACTAAAACCTTTGGGTTTTTTTCCAGATCTGTTTTTCTTGACAAGTGATTCTGGTCCCTTTAGCTTTATTAAATGTATTCATGAACTTCTCACTAGGAGTAACTAGTAATAGTTGATTTCTCATCTGGTCTTTTCCTTAATATACTCCAACAATTTTATATGTGGCAAAAAACAGAACAGATTTGTATTCTAGGCAGGCCCAGAGGCTCTAGTCAGGATCAGGGGGCCTCACTATGCTAGGTGTTATGTAATAATCCTGCCCCCAAGAGGGCTATCTAAATAAACATTTATTTGTGTTTCACATATTTCTTCCTCTCAGTCCTCTTGGCTTCACCTTTGCTGCTTGACTCAGCTTTTCC